TTCTTGTTACTAGTAGAAATGCCAGTAGCTACTAGTAGCTTCTTGTTACTAGTAGAATTGCCAGGAGCTACTAGTAGCTTCTTGTTATCAGTAGAAATGCCAGGAGCTACTAGTAGCTTCTTGTTATCAGTAGAAATGCCAGGAGCTACTAGTAGCTTCTTGTTACTAGTAGAAATGCCAGGAGCTACTAGTAGTGTCCTTGCTCCTAGTGGCTGAGGTTGGTGCTGTCGAAGACATCTCCTCGTGCCCAGCTCCTTGGCACTCGCTGGGCCACAGACGCGTCGTTGCTGCTGCCGCGGGTGGCGGAGGCCGAGTTCCTGCAGGTGGGGCCTTGTGGTGTTTGTTGTCGCGGTATGTGGTGACTTTGAGGACAAGAACGTGAACAGGTGTCCAGATGATTCAGAGGATGTAACTGATTCAACATGCGTGCTTTCTTGGTCTTGACCTTTGTTGCGTTGTATGTGTTCTTTCGGTAGTTGATGATCTGTACAATGGTCAATCATTTGAAGATGGACAGGCCAAAGAGAAGCTGAACGATGAGGCTGGATTTGGAAGACAAGTTTGTGTTAACTTCTAGGAGCAAAGGGCATCGCTACTAGGAGCAAGGACACTGCTAGGGGTTCCTGGCCTTACTACTAGGAGCAAGGACGCTACTAGGAACTTGTTCAAGTGTTTGCATGTGACTTCACATTTCATGTGCATTGTTAGGCATCATTCTTTTATCACGCTGCCTACTTGGACTACCTGCTCAAGGGCCAAATCAGTGATGCAACCAACAGCCTTTTGTCGGCAAGAATGAGCTAGTAGTTACATTTTCCACACAGAAAGGGCTTATGAGTTATAAGGCGCTAGCAGGGTGGAGGCCATTGCTAGTAGGGGTAGACGTGAAAGATCTTAGGGTCACTTCCCGGCCTTAGTGGAATACCAAGATTTGAGCTACCATGATTTGCTGACACACGTTCGTTCTCGCCACATGTAACAAGTGCATCGCGCTACTAGTAACCAGTGCATCGCTACTAGTAGCTTCTTGTTACTACTAGTAAGGCACTTGTTAGTAGAAGCGATGCACTTGCTAATTGATCACGAGATTGGAGCACTCCGGAGCGCTGGACTTTCACGAGGTCTTCTTCAAGCCACTCCAGCGAGCAAGAAACCTCGGACGCCCGAGCCAGGTCCTCAGGTCCTCGGCGTGGGAAGAAGTTAACCCGCTCACCCGCCCCCCTCCTTACTTAATTAAGTAGGCGCATGTTTGTCATTTACAGTAGATCGGATGTTTGCAGAATCTCGTAAAGTGTTCCCCCAAATCTAGGAACCTGTCGGTAGTAGCTATTTAACCAACTAGCTCCGTAGCTATTCCTTACTTAGATTAAGTAGGCGCCTACTTAATGAATAAGTAGGGAGGGGAGGAGCGGGTTTTAAAAAGAAAAAACGCCTCCCGCACGAACGTGATGGACACTTTTCGCCAAGGCACTCGCCCTTTGACCGAAAGAACTTGGTGGTCTTCACCTTCCGCGGGTATTTGCAAGCTTTGCAACGGGGTACCAAGAGAAACTCGGCACAGTTGAATTCTCCATCCTCTTGCCTCTCCCTTTTCCTCTTTTTTTTTTGCATTTTGCCGTTCCCTTTCTCTTCTGTTCCCCCAAGTTGTTTGCTCTCAAAACAAGGTTCAGCTTTCAGCCAATGAACCGACACTTGACAAACCCTGCGCCTGCACTGTGCCTCCGCCGCGTTTGGGCAAGGACTGCGCTTCATATTGAACCGGCTCTTGCAACTGGCGTGGGAATGCTGCCAGGTGGCGCGTTAGTCGGATTGATGGGATTGAGAGTTCCAAAGTTGAGAAGTGCTGCTTGCTGCTTCTGAAAGGTCGATTTTCATAAGCAAGAGATGATTGCCGAGTTCCAGAAGGAGGTTGGAAAGTGCCACAAAAGCTCCAGATTCAATGAAATATATTTGAACGCATCTCTTTCAATAGTAATAAACGCATAATAGCAGATGGTTTTTGCACGTACTTGGATGTGTTTCTCTTATCTCGTTTTTGAGGCAGCCAATGTGCCTGCTTGGATGTGGTACTCTGTGCTGTCACAGCTCATTAGCCGTGCCCTTCATCCTGATTTGAAGAGACCAGAATGCAAAGTTGGTATATAGTTTGAACCTACTGGGAATGTAGGTTGGAGGCCATCGCTCTTAGGTTGGAGACCATCGCTCTTAGATTGGAGGCCATCGCTCTTAGGTTGGAGACCATCGCTCTTAGATTGGAGGCCATCGCTCTTAGGTTGGAGGCCATGCTACTAGGGTGGATGCCATCGCTATTAGGGTGGAGACCATCGCTAGTAGGTTGGAGGCCATCGCTCGTCTTGGGTTGGAGGCAATGGCTTCTAGGGTGCAGGCCATCGCTACTAGGGCGGAGGCCATTGAGAGTAGGTTAGAGACTCAGATCCACAAGAAGTTTTGAATGACTGGTCCATCTCGTTTGGCGTTTTTGGCGGTGCCATCTAAAGGTTTTGTTCACGCTCCACATTTTGTCAAAAGTGTTGGCCGGTGTTTGGGTAGTTTCATCGGACATCTTGGAGAAGGATGGAGAAGCAGCCACGGAATCATTGAATTGTGTAAACTTGTGCTTATGTAAGTTTCAACCACTAGACTGTGAGTGTCTTTCTTCCATTCAGGAAGCTATTTTGTGACTCTCGGCTCGCACTCGGACAACAAAAGGTAGCATCTGGTAGGGAATTCACTCGTCGGTTTGCTTGTAAGTAAGAAGGAATTACATCTGTCTTCTGGCAGTGAACAGTTCATATTGAAGTTTTCATTGGCTGTGGCCAGGACATCATCAAGAGCGTGACCATGGAGTATCCTCAGCAAGCAGCATGGCACCTTGTACAGCTCTTGAAATCGCAAAATACGGACTGGGCTTTTGTTGACTGTAAACAAAGCTTTTGTTGCAATGTGTGTGTGTGTGTGTCTTGTTGTGCTCTTTTCTCGTATTTTCCTTGAGTCGTTTTTTTTGATACCTTTTGATTAGATACTGCGTTTGCTTGGTTGGAGCTCATGTTGACCCAGACACTGAAATCACTTGCCATTCGCAAAAAGCTTGTTGTCTCCATTGCAGGATGACCGGAGCCACACTCAACTGGGCAAAGATATCGTGCAAGAAGTTGGAAGGCCATGTCTTTTGATGTCCAACGGAAAGGTTTGTCCATGCAACGTATGCCGCCGGAATGACGGAATGACTGAAAAGAACAGTTCTGAACAGTGTTAGTAGAGCGGTGTATTGGCTGCAAGGCACGCTGTCTCTCTAACCAACTTATTCCACGCTGACTTTTAACCTACTCTCAATCAATGGCCTCCACCCTAGTAGCGATGGCCTCCAACTGATGACTTTGTGAAGGAAAGACCAAGATCTTCACAGATTGCTTTGCACTCGGATCAAAATCGCTGAGGACTGCACAGATGTCCTGCATTGAGAAGGGGTGTGGAAACGATCTCAAGAACAATTCCATGACAACAATACAGACTCCATCATCCTCAGTTTGCACGGCCGTTTTGTGCGACTGAACATGTTTTTGGGATCATAAGCAACGAAAACACGGCTGACTTCTCAAAACGGCCCCAGGACTTTGGCAAGCTTGCCAGTACCAGCGGCGATTCCATCCAGTTTGCAAAGGATTTCCCTCGACTGGTTGGCGGCGGTAGCAGGCAGATGGTACATATTTGAGGTCAACACTTCAATTACTACTAGGAGCAAGGACGCTACTAGGGGCTCCTGGCATCGCTACTAGGAACAAGAAGCTACTAGTAGCAAAGGGCATCGCTACTAGGAGCGATCGGACACTACTAGTAGCTATTTGCTCCTAGTAGTAATGCCCTTGTTCCTAGTAGCGTCCTCTTGCTAAGTAGTAAGGCCAGGAGCCCCGAACGTAGCGTCCTTGCTCCGTTGGTATCGACGCCCTTTGTTCCGTCCGTAGCGTCCGATCGCTGAAGCACTTGGCTCGCAGGGCCGAACGTTGGCAAGTGCTGGTGCCTATCCAAAGCCAGATGACTGCCACGATCCCCAGGACGACGGTTTCTGGTTGTCTGGGCAAGACCGGACATGTAGGTCAGAGCATCGGATCCCATTTGCAGGGTAGTAGGGTGGAAGAATCTCCAACCTACTAGCAATGAATGTCTTGGTGTTGAAGAAGTTCGTTTGGGCTGGAGATGTCGGAGGAGCTACTAGTAGCGATGCCAGGAGTTACTAGTAGCGTCCTTGCTCCTAGAAGCGATGCCAGGAGCCCCTACTTGCGTCCTTGCTCCTAGTAGCGTTCTTTTGGGCTAGAGATGTCACAGGATGGATCGAGCTGCCATCCAGAAGACGGCCGATGGTCGAGGATTTTTTCCAGAGGTGATTCTGTCGGAAAGGTGGGGGTCGGTGGCACCTTCAGTTTTGAATCACTTTTTGATGAGCAAAACACGCACTTGGTATCTTGTTTTTCTTTGAAACTTTATCCCAGCTTGCAGGTGTCTTGAACACGTGGAGGTGTTTCGATCGAAGGAGTCCGTCCGTTCGTTCGTTGGAATCAAAAGCAACAGATTCAGAGTACCTCTGAACCTCTGATTTGGCAGGAGAAGCCGAAGAGAGTAACTTTTGTGGGTACGGATGGTCGGCACTATCCCTTCCTTTGCAAAGCTGAGAAGAGAGGAGACTTGCGGAAGGACCTGTCAGACCGGGTGCAGCTGCAGTAGCACCCGATTGTAATGGTTTTTTAGTTACTTTAGTTCGTGTTTGCTTCTTTTTTGTTTTGCACCGCTTCTTTTTTTGAAGCTCGCTCACTCGCTCACCCCCCCTCCCTACTTAATTAAGTAAGGAATTGAGGTAGACGCGCAACCTCTGCAAGAAGCGTTCCAGAAGTTGAGCAGTTGGACGGAGGCATGCAAAGCGGCCATTAGCTACTACCTACGACGCAGCATAGCTCGCGCTGCTTCTAGGAAGCTAAATTGAAGACGCGCTCGCACTAATCATTCATTGGGTTTCTAGACTTTGAGGAAAACTAAGCTCGCCTACGTCCTTTTTGCAATAAGAGGCCATCGCTAGTACGTTGTAGGCCATCACCAGTAGGTTGGAGGCCATCGCCAGTAGGTTGTAGGCCATCGCTAGTACGTTGTAGGCC